GTGATATGACTAAGGGGCGTAAAGAGGTGGATCTAGCAAATTGGCAACATCGCGATTTCCTCCATTCAAACCTATGTTAAATAATCGATTTTTGTAGGAGCACCTGGCCCTTCAATGAATCGAAACGCAGTTCCATACGTTTAAATGGAGAAAAGACAATGTTGCCAATTTGCTGGATCCACCAATGGGGAGGCAAGTGCCTCAGTATGCGTCACCGATACGTTGTATGTAGGGTCATTCCACGTCAACGCAACCAAGCTCGGAACCCGACCCCCTCCGATTTGGCTGAAAATTGGTATACGGGGTCTTTACATCATTCTAAGAAACTAATTTGAAGGGTTTTCCCATCCGACGCCCCGTTCGCGAGATATCGACCCCCAAAGATAGGGTGAATTTTAGCGATATTCAAAAACGCCCGTTTTTGCGATTCTCATTTTCTCGACTTCCCTCTCTTTGACTCTCTGTAGCGAGACTCTGTATCAATCGATCATACTTTGAAAGAGTATTTCTAGACCAATTTTTCATGTAGATTCTGAATATGCTATCAAAATTGAGCTAAAAATTATTTAAATGGCCGTAATTTAGAGTTTTTTAAAATTTACGATTTTTTCGCCATTCAATGTTCAAACTGCATTATCTAAAAAACAGTCTCTCCGATTTTCGATTTTTTTTTATACTTCAAGCTTAATATATATACTTTTAGGTGATATACTTTTTTCAATTGCCATCGGACGGTTAAGGGCCTAAAAAAATTCAAATAGGCCAAAAAAGGCCAAAAATTGGTAAAAAAGGACGATTTTTCACACGTTAATCCAAATATTTAGATAATGAACTCTTCAATTATCGATATTTTTTCCCACTTTACCCTCCGACAAGTATAAAAACGGACTATCAACGCTTCCCATACATGCACCGATCGATTAACGGCCTGATGGAAACCGGGAACCGACCGAAAATCCTCGAAATTGACGCAAAAAGACGATTTTTCACACCGTAACCGATGCATTCCATGGATTGTAACTGCAAATTCCAATTTTCTCTCTCCATTTCAACCTTAAGGTGTATACTTTCGAGTAATAAACCTTTACTAACGTGCATCGATGGGGCACGGATCCAAACGGAAATGAAAACCGGCCGGAAATGCTCAAAAATGACGGGAAAAGGCGATTTATTGCATAGTCAGGGGAGCATGTGTTCGAAAATTACGTCCGTTTGCACGTTTGTGATGCAAGTTTACTCTCTTCATTTTGGTCCCTAGGATGAGAAAATCTTTGGTGGACTCTCCGATTTTGATGCCAAGGCCCCAAAAACAAGATGGCGGCCAAAGTGGAGGCTGAAATTGAAATTTTGGTAAAACGGCACAAAACGCCAAGAGAGGTGTCGATTCTCATGTTTTTTGGATCGTAGATTCCAGAAAAATTGTCATACAGACCCATCGACCCACGGAAATGCCCAAAATCCAAGATGGCGGCCGATTTTGGCTCTTCCCATGTACCATTTTTCAACGGATAAATCGCGATTTGTTGAGATTTTGTCGGCGATAAAATCGCTAAGATCATCAGCATTTGAGCGATTATCCTCGATCTTGTCGCGATAAAATCGCGATTTTATCGCCCGGCAATTTATCGCGATATTATTGCAACAAAAATCGCGATATATGGCGATTCAATCTCGATTTTATCGTCGAAAATTGATCGCGATTTTATTGAACAAAAAATTGCGATGCATAGCGATTTAACCGCCATAAATCGCAATTTTTTATTCGATAATATTGCGGTAAATTGCCACCAACATAATCGCGATAATCAACCGATAAAATCGCTATCCGTCGCGATTACTGGTACTTGGGTTTATTAGCTAAAACGTCAAATGCGGAGCGAAGAGAGGAGTGAACTCTCTATTTATCTGTTTTCGAGGTCATATATTCCAAAAAAAAAATAGGAGAAAAAAACATTTCATGCCAAATGGTGCTGATTTGGACCATGCAAAGGCCGAACTCGGCAGTCATTTTGATTAGAGTGTTCCTGAACACTCTAGTCGAAATCATTTTCCGGGTCAATTTCTATAATTAGCATTATTGGTTTTTTTTTAGGACCGGTACCCCTGCAGGATATGGGTAAATTTGTTCTCAAATACGCAATAAAACTATTCCGATGTGTTTTGAGCCACTAAATCTGAAAATTGCGTTTATTCTTCCCGATCACCCCTCGGTTTTCCGAAAAACTAACCAGGATAATGATCATTTTTTCGGGCGGAATCGGCTTTTCCAGGGAATTGTAGGGTGATGGAAAAGAACGGAGGTTTCCGGATTCAGCCCCTGAAAATACGTAGGAATCACCTTATCTCATCCGGGAGACATGGTTGTAATTTTTTTGCTTGTTAAACAGTGCTATTGCCGGGGAGTACCTGATACTCCCAATTTCGATAATAATTAATATATTACACATACATACAAAGCCGCTTTTATAGCGCTCTCTGGCGCTCTGCGACACCAATAGCCGCCAAAGTTCCCGATCCTCCTAAGGCCTTTCAGGCAGTTCACATACCCTCATTTTTTCTAAAACCCTATGTCGCCACCCTTTCACTGGGTAATGGGTATCCCCTATGTCTCCTCCCAGGAGAAACCCAATCAAGCATCTTTTACGGCAGTCCTTCGTCCGTCATTCTATTGACATGGCCATACCAGTCAAGCTGTCTGATCATGCTGTCGAATACGATGTCATTTTCGACTCCCATGATCTGACGCACTCTTTCGTTGCGGACCCGATCCCATCTAAAAATTCCTACAGCGACCTCCTCCAGAAATCCATTTCCGTTGCTCTTAGCATCCCCTGTGTCCGTTCCTTCAGCTACCAAACTTCACTGTCATATGTAAGAATACTTTCGTCTTCAACGTTATAAATTTTCCTCTTGTTCTCTTTGGATATCTGCGGATCCCAAAGGATTCCATTGAATATAGCTGTAGCCTTCCTTGCTAGGATGTTTCTTTCCTTGATCCCTTTATCCGTTCTTCCATCCTGGGTCAACGGAACCCCCAAGGACCTATAGTGCGCCTTTGATCAGCTGCCCATCCTCAAACCCAATGCTTTGCTGACCACCAATAGTTTTATTGCGTATTTGAGAACTTTACCCATATTCTGCCGGGGTACCGGTCCTAAAAAACCAATAATGCTAATTATAGAAACTGACCCGGAAAATGATTTTGATTAGAGTGTTCCTGAACACTCTAATCAAAATGACTGCCGAGTTCGGCCTTTGTATGGTCCAAATCAGCACCATTTGGCATGAAATGTTTTTTTCTCCTATTTTTTTGGAATATGTGACCTCGAAAACTGATATATAGAGTGTTTACTCCTCTCTTTGCTCCGCATTTGACGTTTTAGCCACTAAAGAGCCAAAATCGGCCGCCATCTTGGATTTTGGGCATTTCCGTGGGTCGATGGGTCTGTATGACAATTTTTCTGGAATCTACGATCCAAAAAACATGAGAATCGACACCTCTCTTGGCGTTTTGTGCCGTTTTACCAAAATTTCAATTTCAGCCTCCACTTTGGCCGCCATCTTGTTTTTGGGGCCTTGGCATCAAAATCGGAGAGTCCACCAAAGATTTTCTCATCCTAGGGACCAAAATGAAGAGAGTAAACTTGCATCACAAACGTGCAAACGGACGTAATTTTCGAACACATGCTCCCCTGACTATGCAATAAATCGCCTTTTCCCGTCATTTTTGAGCATTTCCGGCCGGTTTTCATTTCCGTTTGGATCCGTGCCCCATCGATGCACGTTAGTAAAGGTTTATTACTCGAAAGTATACACCTTAAGGTTGAAATGGAGAGAGAAAATTGGAATTTGCAGTTACAATCCATGGAATGCATCGGTTACGGTGTGAAAAATCGTCTTTTTGCGTCAATTTCGAGGATTTTCGGTCGGTTCCCGGTTTCCATCAGGCCGTTAATCGATCGGTGCATGTATGGGAAGCGTTGATAGTCCGTTTTTATACTTGTCGGAGGGTAAAGTGGGAAAAAATATCGATAATTGAAGAGTTCATTATCTAAATATTTGGATTAACGTGTGAAAAATCGTCCTTTTTTACCAATTTTTGGCCTTTTTTGGCCTATTTGAATTTTTTTAGGCCCTTAACCGTCCGATGGCAATTGAAAAAAGTATATCACCTAAAAGTATATATATTAAGCTTGAAGTATAAAAAAAAATCGAAAATCGGAGAGACTGTTTTTTAGATAATGCAGTTTGAACATTGAATGGCGAAAAAATCGTAAATTTTAAAAAACTCTAAATTACGGCCATTTAAATAATTTTTAGCTCAATTTTGATAGCATATTCAGAATCTACATGAAAAATTGGTCTAGAAATACTCTTTCAAAGTATGATCGATTGATACAGAGTCTCGCTACAGAGAGTCAAAGAGAGGGAAGTCGAGAAAATGAGAATCGCAAAAACGGGCGTTTTTGAATATCGCTAAAATTCACCCTATCTTTGGGGGTCGATATCTCGCGAACGGGGCGTCGGATGGGAAAACCCTTCAAATTAGTTTCTTAGAATGATGTAAAGACCCCGTATACCAATTTTCAGCCAAATCGGAGGGGGTCGGGTTCCGAGCTTGGTTGCGTTGACGTGGAATGACCCTGTACACAGAGAAAGTAGATATGGAAGTGTATTGTATGCACGTAGAGATTCTACCGATAATTTGTGAGTATTTCTCTCCCAATTTTATAGAGGATTTTGTTGGTAATTTGATCTAAAAAATCTAAAAATTACGAGAACACATATTCATAATTTTCTCCAAAATTGAATATTCTCTGAGAGGAAATTTGGCAACATCCGAATGTTCATACTGCGTTATTCCTTAGCACGGCAGATCTTTGAACGCGTGCACGTGCATTATAATTTTTGGTTTTTGCTTTCATGGTGTTGGTCATAAGAGCAATATGGTAGAACCGAGACCGACTATTGATTTGGAACTGATGATTGATTTGTTACAGGTTTCAGTTTGGGGGATGAGCTCGGTTTCCGGGAGTCATTGTCGAATTTGGAAGCCACCCGACGCCGATCCGTAGACACAGGGCGCAGCGCCAATCTCCTCGCATTATTTGACAATGTGAGTACCACAGATATTATCCAATCATCTCCTCCATCAATGGGTCAATTCTTTACGTTCCGGGAGAGAGCAGTAACCAGCAAAATTTTGAGGTCGAGTTTTTGCCAAAATGGATCAGAACAAACACAGATCCACAATCGATAGGAAAATAATCAAGTTGAATTTTTTGTTTTTTTGAGGTCAAATTGGACAGTTTTCGTAGAATTGCGCATATGCATTTCACGCTGACCAGCGCCAGCGACCGCATTGTGTTTGGCGCAATGCGTGAAGTATTCCTGCACTCTTGTAGGCGCCAATATGCTTTTAGCGACGATCACCGCCTTCGATCGCACTGCACTGTGTTTTTTGCCTGAAGTATTTCAAATCATGAGCGGAACTAGGAGCTTTTTGTGAGAGTTGCCAGAAGGGTACCTAAGTAAGGAGTCTGGGGGGCACAGAAAAATACCCAATCGAAGGGGATTTACAAAACTTTACCAGCTCAAAAAGGATCTAAAGGGTGTTTTCGAGGGGAAATCTCCAGCTCTGAAGGGAGGTTGGAGGGCCTACCCGAGAAAATTATAAAAAAAAATGGGTTGTTCCAAGTAAATTTTTGAGTTATTCTAATTGAAATGTTGGTCAAAATACAGTTTCAAAGATAAAATATATGGTACGCTCTTAATTAGCGCAAACACTCACATTTTCTGAAGCGGACCAAGCACGTTATTGAAGGAGAACTATTAGGAAGCTGTATTAATCAAAACTGATTTACGAGGGAAAATTTGCGAAGCCACAATCGGAGCTCGTCTGAGGGAGCTGCTTGTTGAAATTGGTAGACAAAGGTATGGACAAGGAAGACAATAGAGATATGGAGGGATCCAATTGGTGGAAGCAGTGGTTGCAATGGACAAAGGAGGTAGGTAATAGACTAACTAACGGCAGCTCACGAGAGACCCCATAGTTTGTCCATCATTCTCTCCCTTAGTCTATAAGAACCACCCATTCAACCACTGACATCGATCTATACTCCCTATTTCTTCTTTGTCTATCGTTTTGTCCACCAATTTCAACAATCAGCCCACTGTCCGTTTAACCTGGAATTTTTTCTCCACGTGGATGATACTCTCCATTACGAATACCTAGATTTACTTTATGATTCTTGCTGGTTGTAATAATAAAACGTGAATGATTTTGTTCTAGAGCAAGAAAGAAGGTAAAGACGACGCGGCGGTGTCGAGCCGGTCGTTCAGTCCTAGGGTGCAGGGCTCGAAGCAAGGGTTCCGGAGTGCGGTGGCCGCTACGGGGGTGGCGACGGTGCCACCGTTCAAGCCGATCGCGGGGGCCGGCGGCCCCGGGAACCTCTCGCGCCCGGCCCGGCTCAGCGGGGCCGGCGCCACCGGGCCCGGCACCGCCGCCGCCGCCGCCGTCCCGGTCCCGTCCTTCCACAAGCTCCCGCCGTCCATCGCCCAGATGCCCACCATCCCAGCCGCAGCCGTCGCCGCCGTCCCGGCTCTCGCCATCCCTGCCGTCCAGTCTGCCAACCGCAGATACGCTGTGAGTATCCCGTTTCCGTCCTCAAAGATCATTCCAATGCACAGTGGATTGAGTCAATGTCGAGTCCAACGCGAGGTCGGACGCAATTTGGAAACTTTAAACGCTTAATATTCCGTGTATACAAAAGTTTGAGATTCTAAAAACGGTTTCATTGATTTCTTCGCAAAATTTTCTGCAGGGACGTCACCTGGAAATTTAAAATGTGACGATATAAACATCAAAATTCGCAGTTTTATTCAAAAATTTCATGTCCGGCCTCTCTAATTGACTCGATCCACTGTGTGACGGCGCGCCGATTTTAAAATCCCTCTAGGGGCCTTCCATTAATGGCGCCAGGATTCTGGGGTAAAATAGTCTCGAAGCAAAAAAAATGCAACAAAAATATACCCAAAAATGGATTGCACGGGGTGAGTCTATGGCACCAGTTGACTTCAAAACGCGGAAAATCAAAATCTTGGCTGATCCTAATTTCGAGATGCCGCAATTTGAAAATTTCTCAGTGAAAGCAAGTTTTCTACTGACTTTGATCAGTTTATATATATATATATGCAATATGCGTTGAGCGGTTCACGTTTTTATTCTTCGTTCGATTCATTTCGATAGAATACATACCCCTCCGTTACATGCAGACTTCCTATCGTACTCTTTTTTTAACTGAACAATTCGCCTACTGCTGCGTCTGCAGCAATTGTTGTTACTAATATGTTGTGCGTGCTGATTATAACTCATTACATACTCGACTCTCTGAAGGCGTTTTTTGTACACAAGTAGTGCAATCTGTCGGAGAACTAACAAAGTAGGGATCAAGTCGTTCAATCTCACTTCTGTTGTTCTCCAACAGGGTGCTCTACTTTTGCATATTAAACGCCTTCGAAGAATCAAGTATGTAATGCGCTGAAATCAGCACGCACAACATATTCGTAACAACAATTGCTGCGGGCGCAGCTGAAGGCGGATTGAAAACAACTGTATAAATCACGTTTAAAATCATGATCTCACGTTGATCTCTTTAATTAATATTCTTACCAATAGAGAGTTGTATTATATGATTATTTTAAGGGGGATTCTGGAAAAAATTGTTAACATAAACTAAAACATGAGATATGATTGATGCTCCGCAGCCCGTGACATTTTATACAATAATAAAACAAATTACACAGCGGACAACAAAGGCTAATTTTTGCGTATATATCACCAAAACGTTTCGGCTGAAAATACAGCCTTCGTCAGTTGGATAAAAAAATAAGTTGCCAATGTAATGTACAAAATGTAGTCCAATTACTTCTAAAACATGACACAGTAAATCTGTCCTGATGTTTTCCTCGTGACTTTTATGTATGGTTCAAGTATTTTTCTATTCATTCCCGGACAGATCGTGGGCTCGGGGAGTCCGGTGAGCAACGACCTGGCCGCCCCGGTGAGTGGCGTGGGCGTAGGGGTGGTTTCGCCGTCGCTGAACCTGGTCAAACTGGGCGCCATCGACCCGCAAACCCTCATCATGGGCCACACCATTCAGAGCCTGGCCAAGGCCTCCAACATCAGCGTCGATTCTCTCATCATGGCCATCCGGGCCCGACAGCAGCAGCAACAGCTCCTACAACAGCAGGTTCGTCACAGATATCATCATGCCCGATGTTTACGCTTTGAAACAATATCGTTGAGATAACTGCAAGTGGAGTTTCTCGATCGGATCATTTCCTCTGATGTAAATTCAGAAGATTTGGACATAACACATAACGCCTGAGGCACGAGGCGCCTCAGGAGGTTGGACCGCACAGGGATAGTCCCTTGTATGATATCCATCATGAATTGGATTACATTTTGCAATAATGAATCACTATCTACAACTCTTCCACAAAAGCACCTTCCTGCATAGGGAAACCAATGGCGCATACGCGAACTAAAATGAGCCAGAAATAGAGGTTCATTATTGCAAAATGTGGTCCAATTGATCGTAAATCAACGCTGCCTTAGCCTAGTTAGGAATTAATTTCAGTAATTGTTGATGCAATGATCGTGTTCTACACGAAATTCTGGTTAAGAAACATGTATCAGAATATATAAAGTCGTACCTTGTCTAGTGGTCCATTAGGAACTACAATTTCTGGCTCTTACGTAAAAATACGTATGTGCATGGGGAAATTAATGGTTCATACTTTTTTTGTAAACTGATTCAAAAATTGTAGCTCCTAATTGCAAAATGTATTCCAACTGGACTATTTATGCGAAATGGAACTATGTGCAAGTGGAAAGATAGGGTGGGGGTGTGCTCGTTACTTGAGGGTCATAAGAGCGAATGGGAATTTTAAAGCGCCAGTGACGTCAGCGGCGACGAGGCCGCCGTCCCCGAGCATTAACTCATGAACCCTGTCCACAAGGCTCTTGTCACATGCTCACGGCTCACGAGTTACCACTTTTACATTGTTTCTTATCCAGCTCACCACGAGTACACCCTATCTTTCTACTTGCACATAGTTCCTTTTACCCAAAAAATGTCCAACTAATCCTCGTGCACGGAGAAAAAAACTTCGTGCGTGGGACCCGAAGTTTAGGTCATATGGATCTCTGAAGTTTTCGGATTGAGTATCTGAAGACTTTAGGTCCAGCTGCTGAGGTTTGGATCACACATCTGACACTTCAGTTCTTACATCTGAAGTACTTCGGTTTTCACATCCGAAAAACTTCGGTTCTCACATCCGAAAAACTTCGATTCTCACATCCAAAAAACTTCGGTTCTCACATCTGAAGTACTTCAGATGTGTGTGTGTGTGTGTGTGTGTGTGTACTCTTTCAGATGTGTGATCCGAACCTCGACAGCTAGACCTAAAGTGTTCAGATGCTCAATCCGAAAACTTCAGAGATCCATATGACCTAAACTTCGGGTTCCACGCACGAGGTTTTTTTCTCCGTGTGGTGTGGCTTGTACAAACTCCATTTTAAGAGCCTGTTTTGACTTGTATCGGAACAGATCCAGATGACATCGGTGACGCCAGCCCCAACGACGACGACAACGACAACGACGCAGATGACGACGACGATGGCGGCGAAAACGGCGGCGCCGATCAGGGCCAAGTACGCCCTCTCGGGGGCGCACAAGGTGATGAACGCCCCGAAGGAGTACTACCCGGTGAGCTACGACAAGAACTTCGACGACAACTTCACCGCCCGAGTCGAGCTCCCGGAGACCTCCTTCAGCTGCGGCGACCAGAAGCACTTCCCGGGCCTCTACGCCGACGAGGACCTCGGCTGCATGGTGAGTGGTCCATCCGGCTGTCACACTGGAAAGAAAAACACACTGGATCTAGAGTCCAGACTCTTGAAAACATTTACGAGAAAAAATACTCTTGATTCAATCGGATTTTTGCTTGAATCAAAGCGAAATCCGCTCAAATTAAGAGGCTTGGTTCTTGATTCAAGCAAGATTCTGATTGAATCAAGAGTGCTTTTTCTTGTCGATGTTTTTAACAGTCTGGACTCTAGATCCAATGTGTTTTTTTTCCAGTGCAGAAAGATCTCAACTTGAGGGAATCCAGTAAACGGTATTGAGTACACTGGAAAAAAAAGTCGCTTGGATCATGAGTCCAAACTCTTGAAAACATTGACAATAATAAATACTCTCGATTCAATCGGATTGCTTTAATCGAGAACCAGCCTCTCAATTTAAGCGGATTTCCTTTTGATTCAAGCTTAAATCTTATTGAATCAAGAGTATTTTTTCCAGTCAATGTTTTCAAGAGTCTGGAATCTAGATCCAATGTGTTTTTTTTTCCAGTGTCGGGTCGAACATATGCTACTATCAGTTCGAATGCAGATCCCTTTTCCGACGAATAAAGGATGACAGGCCGAAAACGGGGAGCGGGCCTGGATCCTCCATTTGTAATAACAGCAGATTACTCGGCTTCGTGCCGCGGCCGTAAAATCATATCGCAAGCGCGCAGCCTCTAATGGAGCCAGCGGCGAGGCGTGAATGATCCATTATCGATAATTCCCCATTTGAAACTATCCTAAAGAATCGATTATCAAGGTGTTCGTCGGAAACACCCCGTTTATCGATCCTTTCCCATAGGTTTAAGTGGCAGATCCATCGATATATCGCAAGCATCCAATGGAGCCGGGTGAAATTGAAGACGCCGCATTTCATAAGTTGTAAAAACGCGCGAATAAATGAGGCGGAACCCCCTTTCAAAACGGCCCGTTCGCCGTTCGCGCCTTCATCCAGGAGTGCAGTGGCGCGGCGTGCTTCGATATACATCGATATTTCCCCATTTGAAGCTATGGTAAAGAATCGATTATTAAGGTGTTCCTTGCGAACACCCTGATAATCGATCCTTTTCCACAGGTTTAAATGGCAGATCAATCGATATATCGTAAAGCAGGCCACGCCGCTGCAGGAGTGCCCGGGCTGCCTCGCAGATGTACCGAATGTTGCAACGTTAAATTGTACTCGCGGCGATATTCGCTGTTCTGTGTAATCGGAACGATACAGTGGAACCGAACTTTACTGCTTGTAAAATTAGTCGACTGATCGTGTTGTGAGAGAAAGTCATTTAGTGTTGTAGAGGGTGGAGTTGGTAGGTTGTTTGGACCGCGTTCAGCAGAAAGGAACCAAGCCACAACAGCTATTGTCAAATTTATCTGGGCAATTTAATATTATACAAGAGAACGTTTGTGCAGATTCCTTTGAAAATTTTAATAAATTTGCTTCGTACTGTGCAGAAAATTCGCTGAAATCCGCACAACCGTTGCCGTGCAAAAATTAAATTGCCAGATTTTTTGCAATATCTGATGCTGCTTGGTTCCTATCTGTTCAACGCGGTCCATTTGGTCCTAATCATTCATAGATTCCTCATTCGCGGTATGACGGTGAAAAAATCAGCGATGCCGTCTGTTTGTAACCTAATGGCATGAAGGATAAAAGCGACATTTTTGCATTCGTACTTTTTCACTTACAAATGCTGATACCTCCATAAATATTTCTACAAACCTCGAGCTATGATGTACCAAGATACTCAGGAGAATGTGTAAAATTAAAAACAAAATATGAAAAAAAAAAGGTTCAAAAATTCAATTTTTTTATTCCAAACTTACCCTAAAATTAAAGCGAGCAGGATCAAGAGGGTACAAATTTATTTTCACCAACTGCCAAACACTTGCTAAAATTTGTATCTTTCTATTGGCATGAAGATTTATTTTTTTCAAATTAAAGCTTAAATCATAGATTAAGACCAGTGTGATCGAATCTGAACATTTCTGAATTTTAAGTTGATAATATGAATAATGATGTCGATTTTCTGGAAAGGAAAATAGATTTTAGCCTGTTAGATACTGCCTTATTAGCCCCATCAAACCCGGGCTGAATACCATGAGTAGATTGCCAAACATAAAAAAAAAAAATAAATAAAATAAAATTGGTTGTTTTTTTTTATTCTTTTGAATTTACTTAATAAGACTTTTTAAAATGTTTTCAGGTATTTCATGTGTGCGCCTTCACGGACGATGGGCTGGTCATGAAGAGCTTCCTGTGTCCGGAGTCGACCCTGTTCGACCAGACGATCTTGAAGTGTAACTGGTGGTTTTACGTCGATTGCAAGGCGTCCAAGAAGCTCTACGACAGCAACATCCCCGTCTCCAAGAGTTACCAGCTCATGAAGGCCCTCGCTTTCTTCTCCTCCTACAACAATAGCAATAACAAAGAGCAGAGCCTTCCTTCCTGAGACCATCTTTCTAGGGACTCAACTCTGAGTCTTTGAAAATGCTAAAGGAGAGAAAGAAATGATGTAGTTTCAGTACACTGCCTTGCTAAGAAGAGAAAAGTACGCGCCAAATGACTGTGGCCGAAAATTGTGAAAAACTTTTCTTAGTACTCCCTTAGATCTCCTTTGAGCGAAGTGACGGCAAAAATGCGAAACCATGTATTTCCATGTGCGACGGTGCATAGTGGATGAGGTCATTCAGAGAGGGCAGACAAGAAATTTTTAACTAAAACTGCAAATGTTGATGTCTAATTTGACAAAGTTTGAAGTATAAGAGCCTGCAAAGGAAAATTTCACGAGGAAACAAATGGAACCACTCTCAAAACCTCAAAGTTTTGTATGAACGCAGTTATGAGCTTTTAAAGTCTCCCATTGACTCGATCCACGGTCCCTCAGGAAAACTAGTCATCGTAATTTTTTGAAAACTTCCTGGATTTTTCTTCCTCGTTAGCAGAATAATTTTTACAAGTTTTAAGATATAATGTTGGCTTGTCTCTCCTCTTCAAAATAAAATAGGAGTGGAAGTTTTGAAACACCATAATGGAGATACGTGGTTTCACACTGTGGCCATCGATAGGTTGTAAAAAGTTGCCTTTGTCCCTCTAAAACTCATTATGGACCCGACGCGACACCCTCGCAATTGGACGTATTTCTACGTCCTTCTTGCTCGCATTCATGCCACTCTTTCCTCTCCTTCGAAGGCAATAAAACTTTGACATTTCTTTGGGGGGTATGATAAATCATCATATGTATTTATTATTAGATATTGATCAAGAAAAAATCCAGGCGCAAATTTTGTGCATTTACTATACTCTCTTATTTAGCAGGGCAGGGCGCAGTGGCGATTTTTAAAAGTTGGCAACACTGATTTTCCTCCATTCAAATGTTTGTAAAACAATCGATTTTTCATGTGGCAGCCAGTGGTGTGGCGTGAATTATCGATTATCGATATTTCCCCATTTAAAACTATGGTAAAAAATCGATTGTTAAGGTGTTCGTTACGAAGATCCTGTTTATCGAACTTTTGTCCATAAGTTCAAATGACAGATCAATCGATACATCGCAAAGCACGCCACGCCACGCCACTGGTGGCAGTTTACATCGCCGAAAATCGATATTTTAAATGGATTTCAATGGAGGAAAAATAATGCTGCCAACTTGTAAAATCGCCACTGGCAGGGCGCGATCAGTATCAAGTGCTCAAACAGGTATGCCGTATCTCTACCGTAAGATGCGTCGTTGCGTGAGAAAAAACATCGCATTTTACGAGAGCTGTTCTGCCGAGTCTTGAGTACTGACCACGATCGCGGTAGATAAATTATTACTCTTTTCATTCGATGAGGCTGCCGATCAAAGCACAGATGAATCCAATCCGAAAATGGCTTTGATGCGGTGACCAAATCGTTTTTGTAAATATGTTATCGAAATTAGGTGATCGATTGATCGAAAAACATCAATCGTCGCATCGCCGAGGAAAGGATAATTCCTCCCATGTAAATAAATCAATGTAATATAGAAAATAATTTTGCGACGTCGCGTCGTGCGTCGGACAGTTGGCACCCTCAGAAGTGGATCCAGCAGGTTGGCAACACTGTCATTCCTCCATTTAAAACTGTGTTTAAGAATCGATTCTTGTCGAAGCACCTGACCGTCTGGCCTCCCCAAGAATCGATACATTTCCATAGGTTTAAATTGAAGGACATAGCATTGTTGCCGACTTACTGCATCCGCCAATGCTGCCGTGCTAAGGAAAAACGCCGTATGAGCCTTTGGACGTTGCCACATTTCTTTTACTAAAAACCGAATTTACTGGAAAAATATTAACTATTTGTTATTCAAATTTTTCAGATAATTTTGTTCAAAATTTGATCTAGCATATCTGGAAATTTCACGGAAAGATATGCATAACCTTCCTCAAAAATACGTGTTTTATCTGGAACGATTTGGCAACGCTCGAATGCTCATACGGCGTTTTTCCTTAGCATGGCAGAATGGGCACCATGCGTTTCCTCTTGTTAGCAGCAACCGCGAGGGTTCTCGCAAATTGACAAAACTGGATTCGGTCAATTCACATGTATGTAAAAGACTCGATATCTGCCAAAACAGGCTGCCTTACTTAAAAACGATTGTTTAAATTGGATTTTAACAGAGGAAACTGCTAACTTCCTTGTTTTGTCACCAGCTGATAAGGCTTCTTGGACAAATCATGTACTCCAGTGAGTAAAAAATCTAAATCTTAATTTCATTGGTATGAAGATTTGTCCATCTTGATGGTACATGAATTCTCATTGATTCACTCAATGCTCTCATTATTTGTTAGTTTAGGTTAGTTTTTCATAGACATTTCCGTTTGACTCCATAAGAATTCATGTACCATCGAAGATTATAAAAAAACACAGGTTCTCCGACTAGATCCAGCTTGCTTGGTTATCACACGGTGCATAAGTCATATAGAAACCAAAAATTCAGTCAATAACACAATTCAGTCAGCATATAGTAAGGCATTTTACTTGTCAGCTTTGAGGCTCGAATTTCTTCCCTAGAATCCAAACCACGGGATAAACGTTTTTCGGGTGCCGAAGAAAACTGACTGATCCTTTTCAACTAGAATCTTAGTTATTTCATTCAAAGATCTAGTTAGCTATTTTAATTGAAAATAAGTTGATGGAGGGCCTTTTATAAAATACGTAATGATAAGTGGCGTGGCGTGTTTTGCAATATATCGATTGATCTGCCATTCAAACCTATGAAAAAGTATTGATAAACAGTGTGGTCGAACCGAACACTTCAAAAATCGATTCTTTTACATAGCTTCAAATGGGTATATATCGCCCGTCGAGGGGAGATCGAAAAGAGCGTCACGGTTTCTTTCATGCGCCGAAGGATACGAAATTACGTCACAAAAGCGTTATGAGGAGGAGAGGTGGGTAGAAAAATCCGAAAAGTGTTACGTATTTTATGAACTGCCCCTAAAGAACTCGAGTGCCGAGATTCTGAGGTTGAAAACACTTTTTGATATTACTCCTACAATTCTGTGTTGAAAAAAAAAAAATGCAAGATTGATATCTTTGACGGTAATACCTATGGAAGTAAGAGCCTCAAAACTTAATCGAATTCTTGGTGGAATACAACTAAAATATGAGTATAATTTCGAGATTTTTCTTACGAAATGTCTGGGATGTACTCTGAGGATGCTCGTAACCTTACTTTATTTTTTTTTGCATTGTAATTAGCTCTATCTCTGTGAATATTTTGTTTATAAAAGTGCCATAAAGTGTATCAAATAAATAAATGATTGTAAAATAAGAATCTAATAACTGTCTCTCTTATCAATTAAACGATACTTACGATCCTTAAAGAAAACTAAATAAATCCTAATGATCCCTGGTGAAAATGCATCGGTCTGAGGAGCTCAAATCCCTCCTCACTCAGTCCTGCACCAGGGGTTTTCAAAAAAAACTTTCTTTTGAAAACCTTCGGTCCACTCTAAATTCCCGGTGCCACTGGACCTCAGTAAAATGTATTTAGGTCAAATTGTGGACTCGCACATTTCAACGTGGATCCCAAGCCCCCCCTTTTTTTTCAAAAATGGGCGAATTTTTAGATTTTTGTTTTCAAGCTGTATATTAACTGATAAAAGACATTTTATCGGTGATTCCTCAGTTAAAGTGCTTCATTCGACCTCGTCTGATTAAAACTAAGTCGCCATGATTCTAACTTAGGAGCACATTCAAGGGAACACGCAATTTTAGGGGGCATAAGCTCACAAGTGAAATCCGTGCTTTAGTTTTTATTCTTCATATTTCCTTTCCCTTGGTCAAGAAGTTTCAATGTTTTCGAATGATCCTTTTTAAGAAATATTTAAGCGGGAGAAAGGAACGAATACCTCCCCCCAAAAAACCCCGGGGATAGGG